ACATTGTTGTATTTATTAGAACATTTCCTTCCCCTTAGTTTCAAGGCAGTCTTCATTTTATAGAACTAGCCAACTTCCTTCCTTCCTTCCTTCCTTTATATTTTGTTTTATTTTTTAGAGATGTATCCATCTTTCAGTGTCCATCTGTCTGTCCATCCATCAAACCATATATATCTGTCTATTCTTCTGTTCACTTCTATATTTCATCATTTAATCTTTCGCTTTCACGTTTTTTTATGCTTCACATTTTTCTCTGACATTCACTATCAATCTATCACCCATATATATCAGCATCATCTTGAAGAAGGAAAAGATGGAATGGATCAGATGTCAATAGATTGGCCATGTCATTCTGATAAAGAAAATAATGAGGCAGATTCCCTCCTTAATCTGCCTCATTATTTTCTTTATCAGAATGACATGGGCAATCTACTGACATCTGATCCATTCCATCTTTTCCTTCTTCAAGATGATGCCGACTTGCCTTCCCATTGATCTGGACCCCAACGCCTCCATATAGTTCCAGTGCTGCTTGCATCACAAATAAAGACAGAGGGGCTATAAATCCCCCAGAAGCAGGGAGCTGAAGAATTAAACAGAACTTGGCTACAAGAAACCTGGGCTGTATCCGCAACACACCTAGGTAAGAATCCAGTGGCCATACCAAATGCAGGGAAGTGCCCTTAAGAAAGGAGAGGGAATGTTATATGTAGACATGCCCTGAAGGAGCCAACATTGGGTCCTTTCCAGGACAAGTTTCTTCCCCCTTTTTTCTCTCTCCTGATTTCAACAGCAATGAAACAGGCAACTGGAACTCACAAGGGTTTGTGGACCATCATAGTCGTTCTCAGCTCAAGTTGGCTGCTGACTTCAGGGGCCTTGCTCCCTAAGCTGCATAATTCAGGCAGGTAAGTGGACGTTTTTATGTTGGCATTTGTCTTTCCAACCTGGATTTACCCATTTTAGATCTGCTAACTTTATGAGTAATTCTTTATCCCAACTTGGGTTGCCTGACTGAAAACTGAAGATGGCTTTTGTACCTTTAATTATTGTGTGGAAGAGGAAAGTTCAGCAGGTGTTGCTTGTTACCTAGTTGTGTAGGCTGAAATTCCCTCTTCTTCACAGTTACAATCCATTTGAGCATTGGAGTACAAGTCACACTCAAAGTCAGCCTCAAAGGAAGAGAAAGGCAAATCCCTTCAGAACAAATCTTACCAAGAAAACCCCATTATAGGCTCACCTATCATAGGTTACCATAAATCAGAAATGACTTGAAAGCAAACAACAACAACAACAACAAAGTCATCTCCAATTTTCAGCTGGCAATCTGAATCTAGACCAAATTTACCTAGAATGATTTGGGGAGGTGTATGATAGTGTTAAAATGCAAATTAACAAGATCCAGCAAGAACAGCATGTGGCAGAAAAAGGATGTGGGAAAAGAAAAAGGGAAATATTAACCTGGTTAGATGTTACGATAATGTAGGCTGCTGGGGTTTGTATGGGAATGTCCTGCTTCCCAACACTGACATCATCATTACATTATTATTATTATTATTATTATTATTATTATTATTATTTACAATCTCCTATGTCACTTTTCTGTCTGCTGGTTGCTCCTTCCTCTCCCAAAAGAAATCACCTTGAAAAATAAAATATTCATTTAAGGAAGCTCACAGTCTGGGTTACAACACATGGAAATTTCCAGTCTCATTTTGCAGGGTATCTTAGCTAGTGCTACCACAAGATATAGTGGTGGTGACCAATTTA